TGTGAACACCACGGGGGTGAACGTCTTTTTCACAACCCGTTTTAAGGAGTTAGTATACAAGAACTGCCCGATCAAATCGAGTGTTTGGTTACAATTGTCGGCAATTCAGATTCATATAAATGTAAAGTTTTAAAGCGACTAACCACAAATAGAGATCAGGAATATTTTCACCAAGTCACCTTAGGAATGCAAAGATTGAAATGTGAGGTTTGAAAAACGTAAGACAAGTTCGGCTTATGAATTTCAAATAATTACATACTAACACCACAACAACCCACCAACCAGTTCTATTTTCTTTTGGCCATAACTTGGGCATTACTTCACGTTGGAACGCTACCATTCTGATTGCTTTTCAGGTACTTCCTGATCTCAGTCACTTGAAAGATGCTTTCAAACGGTACCATGACCTGAAAGGAAACTGACTGTGAGAAGAAAAACGTTCGCATTTCAGAATTTCAAGCTACAGCGAACCGTATCCGGGTAGGGGTACTCGATGAAGTTTGGAAGAACTAATGTCCTGTCGAGATATTTGGTAAACTGCATGACTCCAAGTAGTTGGTCGACCTGATTCCCAAATCGTCCTGAAGTACAGAGAAACTGTCAGTAAAAACAATCCTATCTTTGATTTCCGCTCAAACTATCAAAGAGGTTATACACTCACCCATACACGGGCAAAAGACGACATATCCATTTGGATCTATTTGGAAATCGGTTCCCAATGTTGAAGCGACAAGCGACAAGATGAGCACGCTGGTTGAGCTCATCGCTAACGTGAGAGCCCTATGCAACGTGAGAGACCATAAATGACGACTGACTGATAAGGTTGCGGTCAATAGAAGGGCTACACCTTGACGCCGTAGTGCAGCACTGCAAAGAGGACTCAAAGTAATTAAAAACTGGCCACAAACTGGGCACTTAACATAATGCTACGGAAGACTGAAAACAACACAGAACCGAAGATCTCCGAAAGGACACACAAGGGAATGGTTTGAACTTCCCATGGAACTTTGAATGGAGACCTAGGTACATCGATAGAGCCTCGAATGCTGATTACGAATATGCAGATTAAAAGTGCTACGGGGACCTCCCAGACGAGATCTGGGTGGTCAAAGTTTGGGTTCTGGCTCGTAAGCGCTGCTGATCGATGCCTCGGCAGTGCCACCGTGGCCTCGTGGTAATGGTCTCGCTTTCGAACGCATGCGGGTTTGCATCCGGTTGGCGCGAAAATTTTTGCTTCGCTCCCTATAAGAGCTTCAACTCTAATTTTCGAAATTCTTCCGAATTTACGGCCCAGCAGGGCAAGTAGATCAAGTACATCAAGTATACGACGTACTCGATCTAGTATGGATTTGGTCATATCTGCCCTCTCTGAACATATTACCCATCCGACAATTCAAAGTTTTGCCCAGAATCGCAATTTGGCCAGACGAGCGTTTTTTCGTCGAAGGATGTGATATTCGTGTTCAGGGGGTCGAAATCTCCCATGAACGAATTTCTCGCTAAAACTTTGAATTGTCGGATGGGTAATATGTTCAGAGAGGGCAGATATGACCACATCCATACTAGATCGAGTACGTCGTATACTTGATCTACTTGCCCTGCTGGGCCGTAAATTCGGAAGAATTTCGAAAATTAGAGTTGAAGCTCTTATAGGAGCGAAGCAAAAATTTCCGCGCCAACCGGATGCAAACCCGCATGCGTTTGACTTGAAAGCGCACCCTTACCACCCAGATCAGGGCACGCCATCTTTGTGATCATCACAACAGGGGGGTCGTATTTGCCCGCGATGGAGGGGGGGGGTCGTAAACGCATGGCCCATGTTGAAGTGGAGAGAGCGGTGATACACGGTACAAGTAAAAAGAAGCTCAAAAGGGACGATGTAGATGACAATAAATAGAACTAGGCACTATCGAACTATTCCTAGGCCAAAAACTAAAAAAAATATTGCTGAAACTTTTCCTCCTTCCTCACAAAAAACTTCAAGACACTTCGCCCACCAACCCTCCTCATCTGGTCCAGATAAATCCCAATCTACTAATCCGCAAAATCTAGAAAAAAATCCATTGCAAAAGCCACCTATGAAACCGTAGAAATTGAATCCTGAGCGATTTCCTCACAACAAAACCAAAACTCCCCCCCAACCCCAAAACAAAAATTCCAAGCAAAGCAACCAGGCTACGTACAGAAAACAAAGCAATCAAATAGTTACAATCAAATGGGTAAGAAACAAACTCACCAGGCCAGCTGGGAACCGGAACTATGGATTACTTTTGAATTTTGGCTGTTCGCGGTCAGCGCGCTCATACAAGCGCATTGGTGCGCGCTATTTTACGGTTTGGAGCCAATTTCAAGCCAAACACGTGAAAAGTACCCCTCATTTGAACACCCATAACTTCGTTGAAAGTGAAGCTATCGGAGAGGGTAAGTGGGAATGAGTAGAGCTAGGTTGGCTCTTATCACCTGAATTGAGCGATTTCAAAAACGTTCCGGTTCCAGAGATTTTCCCCGTTGTGATCATCTTTGTGATCCGTCTGTGATCATTTTTGCGAACCGCGCGCGAGTCGCTACGCTTTGGACGTCCATGGCAAGCTTCATACACGACCTTTCGTAAAAAAAGAACTGTGCCGGAAGCTTGAAGATTTCTACTTTCCAGCAAGGTTTTAATTTCCTTCCTAGACCTACTATTCAAAAAAATTCCCCGTTGTGATCATTTTGTAATCACCCCCACGACACCGAAAAATCAACCCCTCCGAGGCCAGGAAACCTCCAGTTGGCTTGAAGACTTTGGTATGCTTCTGAAACACATGTTTTCGTCAAGCATATCAGGTAATAGGCCATTGGGCGCCAATTGGCATCACATATGCAATGCGCCATGCATGGGGCTTTCACGCAGGTGTTTGAAAGGTGTAACTTCTAGATAGGGCTTCCCAATTGCAAGCAAATGTGCTCCTACGATCAGAAAAGTCCGGGAATGTACTTTCATCTGTTTATTAATCGTCACGTCGTGAGTCCTCTTGTTTGTTTATAAATTCATGGGGCCCTTGTGGGCGGTGATCGTAGCTCCTATCATCGCCCCTTCCTCGTACGTATTGTCAGTATGCTACACCAGCGCCAGAGTGCTGGACGTGCTTGGGACGTACGTAGGTACTGCGACCCCCCCCGCTCGACAGCAAAATTTTGTAAAAAAACCAGAAACTTTTTGGGAAAAAATAGACAAAGTGGTAGGAGGTTGGAAAAATCTAGGGAAGAGGTAACGTGGGGGGGGGGTCGTACTTGAAGATGGAATTAGGGGGGGGGTCGTATTTTTCAGGAAATGATCACAACGCAATGGCGTGCCCTGGCCACGATGGCACTGCCGGGCATCGATAAGCAGCGCTTACGACACCCAGATCTCCTCTGGGAGGTCCCTCCTGCAGCACTTTTAATCCGCATATTCGTAATCAGCATTCGAGGCTCTATGGATGAACCTAGGTAACCATTCAAAGTTTCCATGGGAAGTTCAAACCATTCCCTTGTTAGATGACCAAGCAATGAATCCGCTCACTCTTCATTCCTGGTGATTTAGTAAGTGCGAAATGGTCACGAATTTCTCAACCACTGCATTTTAAACAAAGGAAACAAAGCGGTGAAGAATAACTAAGCGGTAATAATTCTCATCCAGAAAGCATTCGCTAAAAGGAAGAGCGACTGGTGGGACTGCGTTCATAATTCCGATACTGAATAAAAGAACAGTCGCGAAAGGTGGCTATCGGATGTAAACCGCTACATATAGAAACCTCTTCTTCGAGTCTTTAGTGTCGTAAGGTATACAGTCCTGTTTCAAGCGGATGAAGGGGCGTGTCAGGTGATGGGTTTGGCGCAGCGCCAGTCCGTTTTCCATCAGTTATTGAAGCGAGCAAGCGACAAGACTGCACCATATCGTTCGTATCAGTCGTTTTTCACTGATTGTTTTCTCTTACCCGCTTCAACAACTTGTGGACAACGGCATTGGCGCCGCGCCGAACACGTCCCGCCTGACCCGCCTCTTCATCCGCATCAAATAATACTGTAAACAACCATACGCGGCTCCCTTTTGTACGAATGATTTTGTACGTGACGTCCTCGGGGAGAATGTTCCTTTATGCTGACCGCTGAGACCAGACTGTCATAGAAATGGGACACTCATTTGGCTTTTCATAACGTGTTGGTTTATCCATCTGCAAGTGCTCTGCAATCTCATCACAGTTAGCAGCAATGATCTCTTTGTAATTCTCAGGCAGCCCTTGGAGACCTTACCC